TTCCTTAGAGCTGGCAAGAGGCTTGGGTATTAGGGTTAGGGTTTTAGAGCTTCAAGCAGCAGCTTTCCAAGAGCTCTGAGTAGAGAAAGGTGGACCCAGTGTTCAGGATGGGTGGTAAGCTCTTAAGAGATGGAAGCCAAAAGCCTTTACCACATGTGTAAGTCTGAGGCTCGTCTGGGCTGCACAAAACCTCGTCTTTTTTTTTTTTTTTAAAGATTTATTTATTTATTACATATACATGCCAGAAGAGGGCACCAGATTGAATTATAGATGGTTGTGAGCCACCATGTGGTTGCTGGGAATTGAACTCAAGACCTCTGATAGAGCAGTCAGTGCTCTTAACCTCTGAGCCATCTCTCCAGCCCCAAAACCTCGTCTTGAAACAAGGCAGGTGGGTGCCTGAGTTCCAGGCCAGCCAGTGAGGCACTGTCTCAAAAAAGAATAAATAAATAAGTAGGTAGATTCTATAGGTGCTCACTGAGGATAGGCATGGCAGTGTCCATTTTATTCATGTCTTAGTGTGTGCATATGCCTGCAGAGGCCGGAAGAGGACATTGGATCCTGTGGAACTGGAGTTACAGGTAGTTGTGAGATGCCATGCTGGAGCAGCAAACCCTTTCTAACCTTTAGTTGTATCTTAAATTTAAGATTTGAGACAGCATTTTTGGGTTTAGGTGAAGTTTTGTTTGTGTATTTTCTTTTGCTTTAGGACCTAGGATTAGAATCTCATACATGTTAGGTAAACTCTCTGTCACTGGCTGTATCTCTTAACCCTACATGGCATCTGTAACGGACATCTTCCTTGACTATCTGGAGATGTTGTGAGGCTGTTTATAACCAGTGAAAGAGGTCATTCTTGTTGGGGATATAGCTCAGTTGATAGAGTACCTGCTCAAAGGCCTTTGCCAATTCCAAGAACCACGTAAAATGTGTGTGATGATATAAGTATAGTCCCAGCATTCAGAGGGTTAGAAGTTCAGGTTCATCTTTGGCTACATAGGGAGTTCAAGACCAGACTGGGATATTTGAGACCTCGTGTCACTCACTCACACACACTCACACACACACACACACAAGGGGTACATTCTTGATTCTCTTTCATCCCTCTTTCCCTTCCTCTAGCTTGTGGGCCTTGTGGAAGGTCTCTTGTACTCATCAGTGTCTTTGGGGGCTGCTAATGGTGGTACAAGCTGAGAGTAGGCCAGGACGAGCAGCAGGGTTAAGATTTTAGGAGCTGCCATAGAGCAAGCAAGCCGTGAGCCAACTCTGGTTAGTGTGGGTCTTACAAGAACCCGAGGCATCACAAGCCTGGATGTGGACTTAGCAGTAGCATGGATGAGGCCTTTGTGAGTTTTTGCCAATTACAAATTGCTGCTGCGCATGGAGGCTCTTAGGGCTATGGTTTGTGTTGTGCATTTGTTTTTGAGACAGGCTCTCTCTGTATCTCAGGTTTTCCTGGAACTCATGGTCCTCCTGCTTCAGCTTCCTGAGTACATTCATTTTCTTTTTTCCTCCTGTCCCTGCTCCTTCGCCCCACCCCTTTTGAGATAGGGTCTCACTGTGCGCCACTAGCTAGTCTCACACTCATGCTCTCCTGCCTCAGCTTTCCATGGCTGTCACATTTGGCTTGATTAAACAGGTTTTTTTTTGGTTTGTGTTTTTATTTTTGTTTTTGCCTCCCTTTTCTGTTGTTTCCCTGTGGACTTTATTGTTCAGATTTAGCTCCCCTGCATTGGTCTTCTGATTGTTTTCATAGTTTTATGTTTTTGTTCAAGCACACACCACCACTCCTAGCTTTGTATTGAATTGAATTTTTTTTTGAAATTTACTTTTTCGCTCTTTGAGACAGTCTTACTATGTAAACTGCACGGGAACTCATTACATGGATCAGGCTGGCCTTGATCTTCCAGAGATATTCCTTGACTCCCCAAGTGCTAACCTTAAAGGTGTGAGCTGCCATGCCCAGCTACACGGAACTTTTTTAAATTTCACTATAATTTTAATTTGCCAGAGTCCCTTTTGTTCCCTGAATGCGGAGATGGCTCATCAGTTAAAACACTGGCTGCTCTTGTGGAGGACCTGGTTTCAATTCCCAGCACCCACACGGTGGCTCTCAGCTGTCTGCAATTCTAGTCCTAGGACATCTGACAGTCTTTCCTAGTCTTTGAAGGCACAACATGCACATGGTACATGGATATACATGCAGGCAAAACACCCATACACATAAAAAGAAAAAAAAATAGCACTGCGTTCTTGTTTCCTGGGTGCATCCCTCAGTTGTAAGTTTTCTCCCTGCATTGTCTATGAGTTTCTGTTTTCTGTTCAGTTGTTTAATCTTGTTCTCTGACCTAGAGGGTTTTCTTCAATTGTCTCTTGTTCTTTGACTGCACCTACTTGGCTGTGAAAAGCTGGGTGGAAACTTCTCTCCATTGCCATGACTCAGCTGAGAATGAATGATTGTGTTGGGGGTCCTCAGACACCAAATAGTCCCGGCACCATTGAGTTTTCCAGAAAAGTCCTCACAGGTCTCCTGCCTGCAGACACAGTGTCGAGTGCTCAGCTGGAGAAGTCTTCCAGTGTCTGGGCATTCTGTAGATGCACTTCTAGCCCAGGGCTGCTTGGCCTCTGTGTGACAGCTCAGATGGCTGTTAACATCTGACTGCTGGCTTGGGATGGAGGCTGGGAGGCTTTAACTGCCCTGTAGGTGGTGGAACAGTCCTGCATTCAGCTCCACTTCCTGCCTGCCCTCCAAGGTACCCTGCTCCTGGTCTCTGAGCTGTCCCCTCCTTTCCTCCGGTGGGCTTGTTTTCAGTGGTGTTGTGGGCGCCTAGTATTTGGTCTTCTAATCTCATTTGCTTCCTTCCACATTAATTTTCCAAAACTGTGTTGACAAGTCTTAACTGCTGTCATTTCCCTCCTCTGTTCTTGAGAGTTTAATTTACTTTACTTGGCTGAAAGCTTATTTTATTATTATTTTATTTGCAGTATTAGATATCAAACAAAGGGCTCACACATGCTAGGCAAATACTTTGCCACTGAGCTGCCAGCCCTTTTCTATCTTATTTTGAGACAGTTTTGCTAAGTTCCCAAGGCTACTTTTTAACCTCCTGAAAAGCTTTTGAAAAGCTGATGTTATGGGCGTGTGCCACTGCACCCAGTCTGAATGAGTTTGTCTTTACATTTTTTTGTTTATTTATCTTGTGAGTGTACATGCATTGCATGTATGTGGAGATCAGAGGAGAACTTGAGGGAGTCAGTTTTCTTTTTCCAACAGATTCCAGGGGTTGAACTCATGTCTAGGGTTAGTGGCAAACACCTTTACCCACTGAGCCATCCTGCCAGCCCAGAAAATGTGTATTTTGATCAGAAGTATAGGTTGTTATATATTTATGCTTATTGCATTTGGACTTAATTCTGCCGTCTGTATTTTTTCAGTGTTGGAAATTGAACCCATGCCTTAACTACTTAGCCTACTCCCTAGCCCTCCTCTCCCCAGCCTCCTCCTTTTCTTTTTATTTGATACAGTCTCATGTATCTCTGGATGGTCTTGAACTCTATATCACTATTGCCAAAAGTGCCTTGAATTTCTATCTTCTGTCTCCACCTCTTGAGTGGAGGATTATAGGTGTGTACCATCATGCCTGACTATATGCCATTTGGGGATCAGACTTAGGGCTTTGTGCAAGTTAGACAAGCACTCTTCCAACTGAGCTACAGCCGGAGTCCTCTGTAGAGTCTCACTATGTAGCCCAGGCTGGCCTGGAACTCGTAATCCTCCTGCCTTTGCCTTTTGCGTGCTGAGGTTGCAGGAATGTGTCCCCACATGCGGCCACTTCTGTCGTTTTATTTAATGCATCTTCTCTCTGCTGCTTTTCCTTTTCTTTCTTTCCTTGAGTAGACTCATTTTTTTCTCCTACTTGGAAAGTTATGCATGATTGAGTTTGTGTAACATTCTTCTCATGGTGGGACTTATTGAGCCCTGGTCTGTGCAACAGGGAGAAACATCCTCGATGGGAAGGAGTGGTGACTAGACCATGTCCCAAGAGGCAGCCTTGACCTGATATCACCAAGTTCTTATCAAGCAGGAATGTGGATCCACAGCATCGAGCCTTTAGTGTTTCTGTAGCGGGCAGGAAGCTGAATTTCCTGTGTGGAATCTTCCAACTTATATCCCTGCTTATATTCTGGTCCCGGCTATGTGGCTAGCTCTGGTCAGACACTGCGGCCTTTGCCCACAGCCCTGGTGGTCAGTGATGCTGTCACTCTTTACTAGTCGTCCTCCTGGATGAATGTCCTTTTCCTGACTCAGTGGCTTCTCCTAAGGTGTGGCTTTCCTCCCTTCCCCGCTCAGTGACTTCCTCCTGGGCTGTTTCTCTAGGCCGTGTTCTGTCACCCTCTGTGTTTGCATCAGTGCTTCCTCAGTCATGGATAAGGTGAAGATACTCATTCTCCCCCATATGAGGGCACAGACTCCTGTAGCCTGAGGTCCTTTCCCACACCCAGGCTTTGTTCCTGAAGTGAGTGAGGGGACTCTGCTCTCTCACTGACACAGAATACCGACATAGCATGCACACAGCGTCTGTCAGGGCCTTGGCCTGTAGCTAGCAAGCTGTTGGCGCAGACCTTGGTCCTGTGAGTCTCCTTGGCTGGCCTCTGCTGCCTATGGTAGACTTGAGTTTTCTCTCATCGTCTGCCTTCCACTGCCTCTGGCTTCTCCTGCCCGAATGGCAAGTGCTGCTGCTTTATATACTGCGAGGCAGTTGGTGACTCATTTCTCAGCAGCCCCTTAAATAGGGAAGTGAAATGTTTGCACCTGGCAGGGCCTGACCTTTGAGTGACAGCGGAAGTAGCTGTGTAAACATGAGCTTCATTGCTAAGGGGAAATCCTGTTCACCACCACGCTGAGGAGCACATCTGCCTGCACTGGCCCTCATGTGGGCCTGTGACTCTAGTAACTTTTTTCTTTCTCTTCTTCCTTCCCTCCACGTTCTTGGTGACAGCTGGAAGTCACAGTGGTAACAACTGAGAGAGCCAAACATTTCTATAGCCCTCAGGATGTTCCTGTCACCCTCTACAGTGATGCTGATGAATGGGAGGTCAGTGTGGGCCCATTACTTTTCTTCCAGCAGGACAGAGCTATCTTCCTTGCAGCCTATGGTCCTGGCTGCTGGAGCACACAGTCTGGGCTCAAGTTAGTGGTCAGGGCCATCTGGGTAGAAGCAATGAGGAAAACATCTGTCTAGCTTCTGGCCTGTGGGGAGGCCTGTAGTCCCGCCTTCCTCAGGCAGAGCTCAGCTTTGGCCCAGTGCCTGGGGTTGAGTGTCCTTGTACTTATCTGGGCTGATGAAACCACAGAGGAGCTCTGTTCCCACCACCCTTGTCCATGTGGCTCCCAGCGTCAAGGCTATCCAGAGTGTTTCACTTCTCATGGCTGCTGGCCATGCCTCTGCCCTCCTGCAGAGGGGTGGGCATCAGCCGATTTGCCAGGCGAGCAGTGTGGGCCTCATAGGGCTTCCCTGCCAGGCATTTTAAAACATTCTCAGCCTCGAACATTTCTGGCTGGCTTGTCCTCCCCTCCCTCCCCTCCCCCTTCATTTCTCACCGCCCCAGAGCCCTTCTACTGGCTTGGACAACCCAAGCATCCGCCTCAAGCAGACAGGCCAGGAGTTCCCTGCCAGATGTCATTTCTCTTGAAAACCAAACCATAAAGGGAATAAGCTCAGAGAGACAAGGAGCGTTTGTTTCCTCAGGCCTGGTTTCTGTCAAGCTGCTGGCTCCATGGCCAAAGCTTGCCAGCTTCACTGTGAGAGGGGACAGTGGAAGACTTTGAGGGAGAGCTAGGTGGTTTCCTTGGGTTTTTTCAACTTATTGTACCTGGCCTATTTGGCCATCATTCCTTCCCCCCACACACGGAGAGTGACTGGGTTGATTCTCTCTTTTGGCAGATGTGGAAGCGCCGCTCTGACCCAGTTCTCCACATTGACCTGCGAAGGTGGGCTGACCTCCTTCTAGTGGCTCCCCTTGATGCCAACACTCTGGGGAAGGTTGCCAGTGGCATCTGTGACAACTTACTTGTGAGTGACTCCTGGTGTCTCTCCTCCAGCCTTGCGCCCAGTTTGCTGAGCTGCAGATCGCACCGTACAAGGAAATCTGTTACTCTGGGGCGAAGGTCTGTCCAGCAGGCCCCTGCCCTTGTCTCTTTAGCAAAGAGGCTGAGGCTCTGGGTCTGATGGATCAGCTGGCTTTGCCAGTGCTATCTGGGAGTGTCCACTCTCTCCTGCCCTCAGAGGTCAGCCGGGTGCCCCACCCTTGGCCCCTGCCCTTCCGCCTTCCTTCTCCACAGCTGCCCTCTGCGTGCAGCTCCATCGACGTCTCTGCCGTTGTTGCTTCTCCGTCAGTTCTGCCTCCCCCAGGATCTAGAAATACATGTAGACACTCTGATAAAGGCGTCCACTCCTCACGCATCTCACATACTTATTTCTCTATAGTCCTTTTGGCTCCAAAGCTAAAACCCAGTTTTCAGAGAAAGCTTGGAGAGAAAGAAGGAAAAAAAAAACAGGTGAGAAGAGATTGCCAGATTGGCTTATGCCTGTGAGACCTCCTGGGAGCTGCTCCTGTAAATGGCATTTGCTTTTTTTATGTGATCATCCCCAGAAGGTCTTATGGTCACCCCTCCCTCTATTTCTTGATCTTTCACTGCCCATGTCCTGGAGGCTCATAGTGAGGACTCAGGGAGCGCTTGGTCTGAGAGAGACTTGTGGTCACCCATGCAGGCAGGAGGAGTACTGGTGAGTACTGTAGTGACCCCATCAGTCTGTGGAGCATGCTCAGTGCTGGACACTCAGTAAGCACTTACTATACTACTTGTATGTGGTAGGAGGTGATTTTTCTTTCATAAATATTTTTGTTTGAATTTAATGTGTGTGTGTAAGAAAGAGAGAGGGAGAGAGAGGGAGAGGAGAGAGAGAGAGAGAGAGAGAGAGAGAGAGAGAGAGAGAGAGAGAGAGAGAGAGAGAGAGAGAGAGAATGAGAATGTAGGCTTGTCTCAAACTTTTAGCAGTCCTCCTGCCTCTGCCTTCTAAATACTGGGATTGCAGGTGTGTATTACTATACTCAGCTCATTTTTAGAGTTGAAAATGGTGAAGAAGTGAGTATTGAAACTGCACCAGGAGCTTTAGGGGCTCACATATGAAGTTAATGTTCTCTGACCTGGGCCCGGTGGCATAAGCCTGTAATCCTAGCATCTTTAGAGGCTGATGCAGGAGGATCAAAAGTTCAAGGCCTGTGCAGTAGAAAATAAAGAGGACTGGAGGTGTAGCAGCCCATAGTGGCAGAATGCTTGTGTACCGAGTGTGAAGCCCTGAGTTCCTTCTGTCCTTGTCTGTTTATTAGGAGGGTCTTAGCTCCTCCTCTGGAAAACCCTGAGTTCCTTCTGTCCTTGTCTGTTTATTAGGAGGGTCTTAGCTCCTCCTCTGGGAAACCTTGAGTTCCTTCTGTCCATGTCTGTTTATTAGGAGGGTCTTAGCTCCTCCTCTGGGAAGTAGCTTGTGACTTCAGCATTATTAGACTAAGATCTTAGGCTGGGAGGAACCCCACCTGATGCTGTGGCCAGGAGCAGATTGAGTAGGTCAGAGAAGCAGAGCCACGTACAACATGGTCCTTACTGCCCAGTAGGACTGGGACCAGGGAGCAGGGCACTGAAACAGGTGAGGGAGGTGCTCAGTCATGTACCCCAAATCCCTGGACTCCCATTGGCGGGCTAGTGGAAGCTGATGTGCTAGAACACACCGGTGTCAGAGCTGAGCCCCAGCCAGCTGTCTGAGGGTTTTTCCTACCCTCTGAAAACTCAGGTCTCCCCTCTGTTTGTTGTTGTTACAATTATTATTATATACCAAGCCTTTGCTTTTTTTGAATATAGCCTGTAACTGAGCTAGAGAGATGGCTCAGTGGTTAAGAGCACTGAATGCTCTTCTAGAAGACCCAGTTTTAATTCCTATTACCCACATGGTGGTTCACAACTGCCTGTAACTCTAGTCTCGGGATCTGACACCTTCTTTTGGCCTTTGTGACATGAAAAATAAAAGACCAGAGACAGATGCTGGGTTTAACCTGAAAATCAGGAAAGCAAAGCAGCCAAGCTACCAGAGAGCTCTTATCTCTGACAGGGCTGGGACATTCCTATTCTCAATGTGGCTGGAGAATGAATGCCTGATACTGAGACCTTGCTCCTGTCTTATATACCTCCCTGATGTTGGGATTAAAGGCGTGTAATCCCAGATACTGAGATCATCTTTGTGTGAGCTGTTTCTCTTAAGTACTGGATCAATGTTGTGTAGATCTGAGTGGCCTTGGACTCACAGAGACTCATCTACCTTAATCCTGAGTCCTAGGATTAAAGGTGTGTACCACCACTTCCTAGCTTCTTGCTGCTGGGATTAAAGGTGTGTATCACCACTGCCTGATCTCTATAGCTTGAGACAGACTTTGCTTTTTTGAATCCTCAGGCGAGCTTTAATAAATCATAAATACTATATCACCACAGGCCTTCATGGACAGCAGGCACACAGACATACATGCAGTCAAAACACCTACATACATATAAAACAAATATCTCATATAGTCCACTGGCCTTGAAATCCTGATCCTCTTGCTTTCCCTTCCCAAGTGATGGGATTGCAGGCATGGCCTGAGAGCTTGGCTCCCCCTCCCCCCAGGCTGGCACACTCCCTATCTTTGAGGTTGTCTTCTCCAGAATTGGCTGAACAGTAGAATGTGTCCCCAAACTAACCATTTTCCTCAAACAGTTTCACCTGAGCACAGATGTTGCAGACAGTTCTCCGGTATTGTGGTTTGAACTGTAAGCATCCTTGGTTGTGGGCTACCTTCTGCTCAGTGGGTGTCTTAGAACCCTGAAAGGAAGCTCAGCCCACTCCCTCTTTCCAGACCGTCCTGTCTCCAGCATCAGAAAGGTGCTGGAGAGCAGCATGCTACATGTCCTGCATTCCTTGTCTCCAGGCCCTCAGCCTGGGAATGGTTGTCTCTATCTGCTCTGGCCTTTCCTCTGTGCTGAACTGTCAGGTCCAGAAAGGGGGTGAATCCCCAGGGTTACAGTCTGGCTCAGTGCTAGTCTCTTGACTAGGATCCAGCCTTCTGCCCTGCCTGAGTGGGTTCCCAGGGGCCAGGCTGAGACACTGAGCACGGTGCCAGCCCCTTGGCTGTGGGAACCAGTGTCCTTTCTCTCTCCTTCCCACTGCTGGTTGCTTCAGAGGAGCTGTGGTTTGTCCAGGATGTGCTGAGCTCCGAGTCAGCGCTGGGGAAGCAGCCATGCTGAGGGCAGACGGTTGGGCGTTTGCTGTGGTCCGTGTGCTGTGCTTTGAGGGTTCTTAGAACCCAGCCCAGTCTGCCCCAACACCAGACATCAAGGCCCTTCTAGGCTTGCTCACAACTCCTGCAAAAGCAGCAGGTGGCACAGAGCCAAGGGGAAGTGTGACTGAAATTGTCCACTCATAGCTAGGCTGTCATATTGAGAGGAGTTGGTGGAAAACCAACTCTGGTGTCTGGAATGACATAAGCAGCCAGATTCTGAGGCTGTTTGCTGTCCCAGGAGGGTAATGGCACTAAGGGACAGGCAGGCATCGACTCTGTTGCATTGGTCTCTGCTCCCTTCTCCTTTCCCGAAAGGACTCTGTCACAGTTGCTGTCTCCCCAGGAGCTTTCAGGAGGAGTAGTCTGAGCATAGGAGCCCATTTCTCTGGGAGGTGGTCCCTGGCCTCCTGAGCCTGTGCCTGGGGTAATGGAAGAGTCCATGTCGTGGAGCCTGTACTTAGTGCTAGGCCCTCAGCTAAGAGCTTTGATCTGGGGTACCCACCTGTAATCCCACCACTTGGAAAAGCAGGGACCAAGAGTTCAAGGTCGTCTGTTACATAGCCAGTTCAGGCTAACCTGGACTACACAAGGCTGCCTCAAAAGACTACTACCATAGCACATCACCATCAAAAGCATTCACATTCCTTCTTATTTTTATTTATTTTATTTTTTGAGACAGGGTCTATGTAGTGCTCTCCTGGAACTTGCTATGTAGACCAGGCTGGCTTCAAACTCAGAGAAATCAGCATGCCTCTCACTCCCAAGTGCTGGGATTAAAGGAGTGTGCTATCGTGCCCAGTTTACCCTTTTCTTTTCTTCTTCCTTCCTTTCTCCTTCCTTCCTTCCTTCCTCCCTTCCTTCCCCTCCCTCCCCTCCCTTCCCTCACTCCCTTCCTCCCTCCTTTCTTCCTTTTCAGACAGGGTTTCTCTGTGTAGCCAGCCCTGATGTCCTGGAACTTGCTCTGTAGATCAGGCTGGCCTCAAACTCAGAGATCCACCTCCCTCTGCCTCCCAAGTGCTGGGATTACAGGTGTGCACCACTACTACCTGGCAGTTCTTTCTTTAAAAAAAAATATGGTCCTGGTATGGAACTTGAAATTGTCTTGTCTCAGTCTCCAGAGGACTGGGATTACAGGCATATGCCACCATACGTAGGATTCAACCATGGTTTGATCTCAAGCTTGTATGACTTCAGAGTTCACAACCTTAAGACTCTGAGTTGGAAACTAGGAAGGGAGGGAGAGAGGGAGGAAGGGAGGATCTGAATTGGTCAAGCCCTTTCATAGTTGCTCTGCTGTGTGACTTGGGTGTGGTCTAGCTTTGGGAGGTGAAGAGACTGCAGTCCAATGGGTGGTTCCACAGGACCATGTTTGTGTCTGAGTGTGACCTTGGATAACTGTTTATCAGGGAGTTGCAGCTTGCTCATCTGTGAACAAGGGACTGCACTTACCTTATAGAGTTACAGGTAAGGGACTTGAGATAATGGCTGAGAAAAGGTATCATGTGTTGGATGTTTTCATTCTCAGGGTCCATTTGGCCTGGAAGTAGAGCTGTTGCTAGGTAGAACATGAACAATCTGGTTCCTAGCCTTCCAGTGGATAGTGAAGCCAGCCTCCTGCCCCTAGGTTTGCTTCCCAGCCCTGAAGTTATGAGTCTGTGTGAAGGCCTAGCTGGGGAGATTGCATACAGATTGGAGATCTGTTGGAGGTATCTGGGGCGTTATGGGTGCTGGTTGAGTATCCCCTGTGTCTAGGACCATGCCAGAGCCTGAGGGGGGATACTGTGGGCTGAAGAGTCAGCTGTTCCCCAGTTAAGGATGCAAGAACATGTCTCTGTAGATGTGTGACCTCCAGTCAACTGTTTTGCTGACTATGGCTGGAGGACAGCAGGGAGAGACTTGGAGGTACTGAGGAAGAGGAATAGGCAGAGCATCATCACCTCTCTCCCACTTCCTCACAGACCTGTGTCATCCGTGCCTGGGACCGCAGCAAGCCCCTACTCTTCTGCCCTGCCATGAACACTGCCATGTGGGATCATCCTATCACTGCGTGGCAGGTGGGCCAGCTCAAGGCCTTTGGATACATGGAGATTCCCTGTGTGAGCAAAAAGCTGGTGTGTGGAGACCAAGGTGGGCTTCTTGCCGTACTCAGCCCAGAGCTGTAGAAGGGGCTTTGCTTTGGGGTCACCTTTGGGTTCTGTGGTCCAGTGGTTCTGTAACTTCGGACAGAACTATTTTCTGAGCTCAGTTTTCATCTGGCAATGGAGAGTGCTGATTCCTGTTTCTCATGATCATTAGGCTGAAGTGAGACAGATGTGTAAAGTGTCTGGTGGGGTCCTTGGCAATAGAACAAACACTGTTAATGAAATGACTCCCAGAGCCTGTCCTGGGCCAGCTTGGAAGGGATATGGGGGACCAGCTCGTGTATAGCTGGACTGGGGCTCCCTGGACCTAGGATGTGGGTGGGGGCCACAGGCAAGGTTAGCTGGTGTGGTGGCGCTCAGTCACAGAGGAACTTTGCTTGCAGGTCTAGGAGCCATGGCCGAGGTGGAGACCATTGTGGAGAAGGTGAAAGAAGTGCTCTTCCAGCGCGGCAGCGCCTCACAGATTTGAACATCCCAGTGAGTTCAACCTGAGCTGTTGAAGAGGGAAGGCAGTGCAGTATGAAGAGCCTGTGTTAGCTGAGGAGGGACTGGCTTGCCACTTCTCAGAGCTTTGTAGCATTCAGGCATCTGTACTGGCCTACCCTTGGGATTCTGACAGGATACGTCCTCAGCTGCAGTCACTAAGAGCACCTCCTGTGCACACTCACTCTGTTCCCTTTTTAAAAGGGCCCTGTCCACCTCCCGTCTCTCTCTCTGTCTCTGTCTCTGTCTCTGTCTCTCTCTCTCTCTGTGTGGTGTGTGTGTGTGTGTGTGTGGTGTGTGGTGTGTGTGTGTGTGTGTGTGTGTTTCTGCTTCTCTGCCTGTCTCTCTATCTCCCCCCACCTATCTCTTCTGCTGCTCCTCTCTCCAGAGGCTGGTCTTCCCCCTTCCCTACCCCCTTTTTCCATTTCCTTTCCCCTTATTTAAAAAACAAAACAAAAAATACTCTCCATGTGAAGTCTGTGGCATGGAATCTTTTTCTCTCGCACCACTTTTTTTTTTTTTTAATAAATTACAACAAGCTTCCCTGGGATCTGATCCTCTTCAAGTTTAACAGAACTACAGACACAGGTCCTGCCTTCTTTCACTAGGAGATGCCTGCTTTCCAAAGGCCCTCCCATCTCTTCCTGGGGTAGGCCCAGCAAGCTAGGCAAACATGCTTCTACTGGAAGGATAATTGAATGACTGAGGGGCCCCCTGCCTGGGAGTTGCTCTTAGAAACACCATGGCTGATGCTGGGCATAGTGGCTCATGTCTGTAACCCTAGTATTCAGAAGGCTGAAGCAGGATTGCCACAACTTTGCAGTTGGCTTGGGCTACATAGTGAGCCGAGCCTGTGAATGTGACAGCCTATTTCAAAACCAAAGCAACAAGAAGAAACACCATATGTAGTTCAAGATCCCTGGCACAGCAGGCTCCTGATCAGGCCTTGGAAGCTTCTATTCTTTGGTGGCCAGGTGTCACACAGTGTCAAGAAACCTGTGAGGTGCAAGACTTGTCACATTTCCTCTCAGACTGTACTGAGAGGGAGGGCAGGAACGGTTCTGGGAAATAAAGAAAAATGACTTTTTAGGAGACTCTGTCCTTTACATCCTGTCTGTGGCCTCAGAAGATGGGCACATGGCCAAGTGAGGCCAGAGAAGTTTCTGACTAGCACTCCCACATTCCTGTGCAACATGGGCGACTAAGGACAGAGCTCCTGGAGCAGACAGCTCGGATTCAAATCTCAGTCCTACCACTAAGCAGCTATGAGCCTTGACTGCCCCTCACTTTCCCATCTGTATGGTTATTCTTCCAGAATAGAGCTGTTGAGATGACTAAGTGAGGTGTATGTGAAGAGTACATTGGTCTGTTAAAACCACAGGGAATACATTGCATGGCTCCCAGTAGAATACTGAGGCCATAGTGCATAACTCTCTCTATATATATATGATGTCTTCCTATACATTCGTAACATATAACAAATTCTAATTTATTAATTGGGCCTAGTAAGAGATTAGCAAAAACAATGGAACAGTTATTCACTTTCTTCTGTAATAAACTATTTTCCATGCTGAAAATAAAAGAACAATCAAAAATATAATAGGGGATGGTAAGACGGCTCAGTTCATAAAGGTGCTTGATCCATGGGACTCACGTGGTGGAAGGTGACAACTGACTTCTGAAAGTTGTCCTCTAATCTTCACTCTCACACTGTGGCACATGCACTGTTTGCACACACACACACATAAAAGTAATAAAATTTTAAAACACTATTACAAAAACCATGTGAACATGGTCTTTTAGCAACATACAGTTTTTTAAAGATTTATCTACTTATTATGTATACAATGTTCTGTCTGCATATATTCCTGCACACCAGAAGAGGGCACCAGATTTCATTACAGATGGTTGTGAGCCACCATGTGGTTGCTGGGAATTGAACGCAGGACCTCTGGAAGAGCAGCCAATACTCTTAACCACTGAGCCATCTCTCCAGCCCTCAACATACAGTTTTAAGATTATATTAAGTAAAAAACTTAGACTTTGTTGTTTTTTAGATAGGGATTTTCTTTTTTCTTTGTAGCCCTGGATGTCCTGGAACAAACTCTGTAGACCAGGCTGGCCTTGGACTCACAGAGATCCACCTGTCTCTGCCTCCTGAGTGCTGGGATTAATGACCATCATGCTTGGCTCAGAACTGGACCTTCTCACGTAAAGGTAGCACTTGATGCTTCTTTGGCTTCTCTGAATTGTTGGCATCACAACTCTCATGCTTTGGGGCTATTACTGAGATAAAGGCTAATTGAGCACTAGCACTGTGATATTGTGATACTGCGGCAGTTGATCTGCTAGCACAACTGTGGTAACTGACTGTCAGTCATGTACATTAGGGACCTGCTGGACAAGGCTGGAGCTGCAGGTGTGATATTTCATACTCTCCAGCACACTATGTGACTTTAAACTATGAACTGTTTTAATAAACTTTCATATTTCAGACTGTGATTGGCTGCAGGTAACAGAAAGCAGCATTGCAGGTAAGTGGAGACTTCTGAAACAGCCACTCTGCTGAATACCTGGAATGTAGTAAACGTCACATAAACAAGCATTGAAACTGTGTGCCCATCTCAGGAACTCCCCTAATATTTGCTGAAATAGTACATCTCATGTTTAGGGAAATAAGCCCCCAGTCCTAAGCTGGCACGGCCGTTCATGGAGGTGACAGGTAAGCCATCGGCATGGTTGCAGCCTTTCCTGAGTTCCACACCTCCCACTTGCCTCCTGCTCACCATGTTGGCCCTCTGGTTCCCATCCTTTCAGCTTGTTCCACTTGCCTGGAGACGCCTGCCCCATTTATGGTTCACATGGCCTGGAGGACTAGTCTCCAGAGAGATGCTGACCTAGAAACCTCTTGCTGTCTCACTTTTGACCTAGTAACTCTGACGTGGCTGTTGTGTGGCCCTCTGTATTTGCAGCTGAAGTGGGGCCTGCTGTCTTCTCTGGCTCCTAGATTAAGCAGTGTAGGCATCCTATGGATGTCCTGAAAGTATTATGGGTACAGGTGATGATGTACCAGACCGTGGTCTCCAGCAGCCTCCAAGAGTCCTTCTATCTTCAATGAGTAAGTGATTAGCACAGCCATATCTGACGGTAATGGCAAAAGTCATGAGGCCAGCACAGCTGTTTAACAAAGATCCAGCAAAGCTGGGCTGCATGATGGCCACCGTGCTGCTTTTGGTTTGCATCTCCCCATCATACTTGGGGAACTCTTAATTTTTGTACAATTTGGGGATATTGGATTGATGGGAAATTTCTTATGAATCATTTATGCCTTCTCCCAGGAGTACTGCTTCTAAGTTTCCCCAGGAAAGTCCTGAACACACTACCCCTCCCGCTTTTAGGGGGCTATCTTTATCTACTTGAAGATCTTCCTTACCCTTTGGAGGTTGTGACACACATAAAGAAGCCAGAGGTCTCTTTGTGAGACTCTGAGACACTCTTGAAACATCTGTCCCTATACTTACACAGGAACAAGATAATCAAAACAGAGTAAACTCAAAAAGGCCAACAAGACTCGGTGGGCTAGAGGAGCTGGCCACAGTTCAGAGTGCAAGCCTCTTCCCACTATACACTCAGGCAGTTACGTGGCTTATACAGCAACAAAGTCAGATTAACTGAAGTTACCTCTGCCCTATACAGAGACTTACATTGTTGGGCAAAGAATGATGTAGAAAGACTATGCAAGTTTGAGACGTCAGGACCTCCCTTTCTTAGAAAAGTTAGCTCATGCAGAGCCACTATGGTGTCATATGACCAAAGAACAACAGAATGCCAGGGTTAGACATATAACAAATTTTATAAAGATATAAAATGTGAACATTGCATTATGCCAGAAAATAAATAACTGTAGCAGCTTTGGCCTGAGGATTTTTCCTGGGCACTCTGACCATTAAGAGTTAATAATACACTGCTCAGGCCATGGCAGTATACCTGGGCTGGCTTGAAGATTTTGTTTTGGTCTAGTGTCCTTGTAGCCACAAAAACTACCAGCCTGAGAATAGGCTGTCATATGCCTCCAGATTCTTAGAAATTGGGCTATGGGTTAATGAGTAAGAATGCTTATAACTTTATCAATTATGTCAAACTGAGGGAAAATGATTGGAAATGATAACTGTTCTGTTATGATTTATTAATGAAGACTAAAAGATGAGCAAAAGGAAGTGAAACACATGTCCAAAAACAAAAATTATGTGATCCATGTTTTGGAACAACATGGCTGTATCCCTGCTTACTAAATTCTGTATAAATAGAGAAGCACTCTGGCCGCTAGCCAGTCAGGCTGCAAGATTCTCACCATCACCATAGCCTGGCTCACTTCTGTTCCCCTCCCCCCCAACTGCCAACTCCTTACATCCCCTCCTGGGAACTGTCCACCACTGGGGATGGCTCCAGCAAGTAACCTTTTGGGATAAAATTGCATTAGGGCAGTAGAGAGAAGGTAAAGTTAAGAATGAACTTTAGAGTCAACAAGACGGCTCAACAGGTAAAAGGTGCCTGCCACTATACCTGATAACCTGAGTAAGATACCTGGGATCTACAGAGTGGAAGGAGAGAACCAGTTCCTGGGAGTTGTCCTCTGACTTCCACATGGGAATAATGACATGCAAACCCACACACATGCAAATAAATAAGGAATTATTAAATAACAAAAACAAATCTCACCAGCCTGGGATGCAGTAATGGAAGAGTATTTGCTGCCTAGCATGTGTGTGACCCTGATGGTAAGCAAAACCAGAAGCTTCTCAACATCAAGTTTGAGAACTGTTTAGGCTGGAAAGTAAGTTCCATGCCAGCCTGAGCTACATAGTAAGACCTTTTCTCATCTTTCCCCTCCTCCTCCCAGAAGGGGAGGTTCAGAGTCAGAATGTAGGGAGGAGACCCTATAACACCAAGTTCCAAGAGATTTTACAGTTTCCAACTTCTCCTGCCACCTCACCCTTTGTTTACCTCAGAACCTGCCCATGGATGATAAGACTGATTTTTTGTTTTTTGAGACAGGGTTTCCCAGTATAGCTTTGGAGCCTGTCCTGGAACTAGCTCTTGTAGACCAGAATGGTCTCGAACTCACAGAGAATCGTCTGCCTCTGCCTCCCAAGTGCTGGGACTGGAGGCCAGAACTAAAGCATAGGAATACTGCTTACTGGCTTTCTCCTGGCTTGCT